AGGATTTTATGAACTTGACCTCAAAGGCAAGGGAAGCTAAAGCAAAAATAAATGAATGGGACTATAACAAACTAAAAAGTTTGTGCACAGCAAAAGAAGCTATCAACAAAACAAAGAGGCAACCAATCAAATAGGAGAAGATATTTGCAAACAATACCTATGATAAGGAACAAATATCCAAAATATGTAAAGAACTCATACAACTCAATAACAAAAAAAGAAAAACAAAAAACCAAACAATCCAATTAAAAAATGGGCAGAGGACCTGAACAGACACTTCTCCTAATAAGACAAACAACCAACAGATATGTAAAAATGTGCTCAACTTCACTAGCTGTTAGGGAAATACAAATCAAAACTACAATGAGATTCTACCTCACACCTATTAGAATGGCTATAATTATTAAGACAAGTATCAACAAGTGTTGGAGAGGTTGTGGAGAAAAAGGAACCTCATACACTGCTGGAGGTAATGTAAATTGATACAGCCACTAGGAAAAACAGTTTGGAGTTTCAAAAAATTAAGAATAGAATTACCATATGACCCAGAAATTCCTCTTCTGGGTATCTACCAAAATAATCTGAATACATTTATCTGTAAAGATATATGTACATCTATGTCATTGCAGCATTATTCATGGTAGCCAAGACATAGAAACAACCAAAGTGTACTTTGGTAGATGACTGGATAAAGATGATGTAGTACATACATACAGTAGAATATTACTCAGCCATAAAAAAAGATGACATACTGTCATTTGCAATAACATTGATGGATCTTGAGATTATCATGCTAAGCAAAATCAGTCAGATAGAAAAAGTCAAGAACCATATAACTTCACTCATATGTGAAATATAAAACTGAAAGCAACAAATAAGACAAACAAACAAAAACTCATAGACACAGACAACAGTTTAGTGGTTACCAGAGGGTAAGAGGAGCTGAGGTAGGTGGGGTGGTAGAACAGGGTAAAAAGGTTGAAAGATATGGTGATGGGATGAGAACTAACTCTGGGTGGTGAACATGCAATGTAATATATCAATTGAAACCTACATAATTTTACTAACCAATGTCACCCCAATAAATTTAATAAAAATTAAAAATAAATACCAAGAATAGAACAGACACTTTCTATGGAGAGAGAAATACAATATATTATAGGAGGTAGGAATTGTTATCTTCATTCAGTCATAAAGATTTAAAGCTGAAAGGGACCTTAGAGATCTAATTTTTTTCCCAATCTTTGATTTCCCAGGACTTGGCACATAGTAGGAATTTAATAAATATTAGATGAATGAAAGGATGCACAACTAAATGAATGAATGAATGAATGAATGAATGAATGGGTAAAGACTGCCAGAAACTACTTATATGATGTAGCTAATGAACCATACCTTCCTCTTCTGTAGAATGACTAGAAAGCAAAGATAGACAACATTGTCCTTTGAGTTCTTAGTACACAGACAGGCTGATCAAGGAGACAGACATACAAACAGATAATACAAATAACACAATAAAAAGCCATCATCAATGAATTTGGAATCTAGGTGAAAAACATGGGTGCCTGTGTCCTGTCTTCCTGGTTCTCTCTCCCTCGTCCCCAGCCAGCCATTAGTTCAAGTGGGCCATAGTAGGCATGAAGGAAGTTGTCCCATGCCATGTGTGTTCACAAACTGTGAGTGTCTTTCTCTGCTGGGATAACCAACCTGACAAAGACCTGAGACTCTGCTGCCTCGTGAGTAGCTCATGTTCACAAAAGGGGCCACCTATCACTCCCAGTCTAATTGTTCAGCTTTTCTTTTTTTGTGTGTGTGTGAGTTTTTTGTTTGTTTGTTTTGCATTTCATTACTTTAATGTGGTTTTTTTCATTAGTTTCCGGTGTGCAAAACAATGTAGCAGACATTTCACCCCTCACAAAGTGATAACCCCTCTTCCTCAATCTACTACCCCTCTGAAGTCAAATAAAGCTGTTACAATTCCATTGATTCTATTCCCTATGCTGTACTCCACATCCTGTGAATATATATATATATATATATATATATATATATATGAAAAATTACGGTCGACATTCAATATTATTCAGCTTCAGGGGATGAGGGAGAAGATGAGGGGATTAGAAAGCACAAATCGGTAGCCACAATATTGCCACAGGGATACAAAAGACAGTTGGGGAACATAACTGCTCTGCTTTTAACTTGCCTTCTGCCTCACCCCCCCATTCCAGACCACCCAGAGAGGAAGGTGACTAATCTCTGAGGTGGGGGAAGGGTGACAATGAAGAATAAAAGTGAACAAACGTGTAAATTATTCATGAGAGTTTTTGTTCTTGATCCCTGAGGTTGCGGATCTACTTAAAAGATGGCAGGTGGAGGTGCACAGCACTGTTAATCCCTGCCTCCAGAACAAGTGCTATGCAAACTCATTCCCAGACAAACGCCCTCCACCACTCCACGCTGCCTGCTGTGACCACTGCTCAGGACAAACACGGGCCAAAGGCAAATGGAATCTCTAAATTTAGAAAGAAAATACTGAAGACTTTGCCAAAGCAAGATTAACACATCTCACCCCACACCCGCCCTGCCAGCTGCCTAAATTGTCCGTCCTATTACGTGGGTATTGAACAATTGGAGACAACTGCTTGTCAAAGTTGGATGTAATGGAGACTTAACTGAACAATAACACCAATGCAATATTGACTTCTCTTATGTCACTTGCATTAATGAGTGTTTCACAGAACACTTTTTTTTTAATGGCTCCAAAATTATGGTATGAAATCTGGTATCTTTTTGAGCCAAATTCTGACCACCTAAACTTTCCCTCTGACCATTGATTATCATTTTCCCTTAAAACTCAGAAAAAAAGTACCATTGTTTACAAAGCCTTTGGCAGCAGTTGATTTACCTTATGAGTTTCTCTACCCCACTTAAAATTTGGAATAAATGATGTTAGGGTCTCCCTGCTACCTAAAAAGCATGTCATTGCTGGGAACCAGCAAAGATAGCCACTTAAGAAAAGCTACACAATTCATTAATAAGACAAGGAAAGTTCTGGAGATGTCCAGCCAGGTGGGCTTCCCAGCATGAGGAGACACACGTCACAAAGCCTCAAGGCTCAGCTACTCTCACTGCATTGCTGCTCACCCATTTATTTTTCAGGCACAGCTCAGACAACCTTTGTGTTAAACCCTGGATTTTCTGAGTCCTCAGAGGAATGAAAGGCACAGATAGCAGTGCATAAAACCAACATTCTATAAATTACTTATGTTGCTTTTCAAATATTTAAAAATTCATTAATAAAAACATACAACTACTTAATTCCTAGCAATGTATAACCACTAACTACTTTAAGTGAAAGGGCAGAGAATGCTTGATGTCTGTAGGACACAGGGAAGGTAGAAGAAAAATCTGGGGAGATAGGAAAGAAGAAAGGGTGGGGAGGGATTATGCATGGTCTCAATCTCCCCATGGAGCCCCAGCCCACGAGACGTGTGTGCCCAGCTATTGGAAGATAAATGGAAAATTCTTCCCTGCTAATCCTCCTGATAGAAACATCAGGGCAATACCAGCCTTGCCGAATATACAGTATTTTACTGGGTTGTCAGAAAAATCATGACGCATGTTTGCAACAGATGGCACTAGTTCATTTTCAGAAGTACTAGAGTCATTTGCATCTATGTTATTGCTATGTCTTTTGATAGCTGAGAGTTCTAGCTTCAGTCTAAAAAAATTAAGCGATTTGGTTGAGTTTTGGAGATTTTACAGCAAGTTGAAGATGCAAGACCAAACTGTGCATTTTTGCCATATTTTACTGTTTTACTTCCATAAAGGGAAGAACCCGCGTCAAGCTTGTGAAAAGTTGCATAAAGTTTACCGTGACAATGCTGTACAAGAACATCAGTGCCAATGATGGTTCACGAAATTCTGTGCTGATGATTTTTATCTCAACGATGCTCCTCGGTCAGGGAGGCCCATGGAGGTTGATGACGACAAAATAAAGGCAAATCCACATTACACGACACAAGAGATGCAGAAATATTGAACATCCATCATTCAACCATTCACGATCACCTGAAGAAGCTGGGATACCCATAAGCAAGCTCAATATTTGGGTTCCACATGAACTCAAAGAAGTTCATTTGACGGCACGTATAAACATCTGCAATATGCTCATTAAATGTGAGGAAAACGATCCTTTTTTGAAGCAACTGATAACTGATGATGAGAAGTGGATTGTTGACAACAATGTGGTGTGCAAACGGTCTTCGTCCTGACATGATGATTCACCTCAAACGACATCGAAAGCAGACATTCATCAGAGAAAGGTTGTGCTCTCAGTGTGGTGGGATTTTAAAGGTGTCGTGATTTTCAAGCTCCTACCAAGGAACCAAACAGTCAATTCAAATGTGTACTGCCAGCAATTAGACAGTTTGAATGAATCCATTATCCAGAGACATCCAGCGCTTATTAAATGTAAAGGAGTTGTGTTCCATTGCGACAACACGAGACCACACACAAGTTTGATCACCCATCAAAAATTATTGGAGCTTGGATGGGATGTGTTGTCACACCCCACCATACTCACCTGACCTTGCGCTGTCAGACTTCCACTTGTTTTGCTGTCTTCAAAACTCCTTGCATGGTATAACGTTTAGTTCAGATTAGGCTGTAAATCAGCACCTTGTTCAGTTTTTTTGCAAATAAAGACAGGTCCTTCTATAAACGAGAAATTATGAAGCTCACTGAAAGATGACAAAAGGATATCAAACAAAATGGGCAATATGTCATTGATTGATCTTTGTTCTTTTTATATTGTAAAGAAATGACCTTTGAAAAACATAGACAAAATACAACATGTCTTTTCCGACAACCCAATAGATTGACTGGAATAATTGTGGCTTCAACATAAAATGTTTGTCTTTACATTTTGAGATATTTGGACATTACACTTTGTTACCTACTAAGACATTGTAAATGATAAATTCCTGTTCTCAAGCTACCTGTCCCGCTTCTTCATCACTGTAGTTGTGGCCGTCTCATATTGATCTTCAGATGGTTCTTTAGGTTCGGTGTCAGGATTAGGTACAGGTCCTTCCCAGGAAGGCTCTTGTTCATCTCTTTGAGATATAACTAGAATATAGCTTAGGCCACTGGTCATTAAAGAAAGAAAATCTTCAAAGTCAGGCTACAAAATAAAAAAGATAAACTGTTCAGGCTCCTGAGATGCATAGACTAACATGGCGGCCACTACCCCAGTCAGGGGGCATCTTCCCATTCATGGTCAGTGGTCAGGGGAATGGTATCCTTATAAATAATGCTACTGTTAACAAACACATTGTTGAGGCATAGACGTTCACAGCTAGCAGGGATTGAGCTTAAAGACAGTCTAATAACTATTCTCGAACTTTAGGATGTATCTGGAGGGCTTATTAAAGCACAGGTTTCTGGAGTCTAATCCCAGAGTTTATGATTCAGTAGTTTTAGGGTAGAGCCCAGGAACTGGATTTTCTCAAAAGCTCCCAGGTTACCCTGGTGCAGCTGATCCAACCCTTTCCTGGGGCCAAAAGAGATGGTTTGAGTGGTGCAGCTAGTTTACAAGGTGCTGTTCAGCAACACTTTCTGTAATGACAAACATGTTCTGTGCTCTCCATCATATTAATATGTAGCCATATGCAGCTACTGAGCGTTTGAAATACAGCTGATGTATCTGAGACTCTGAATTTTTAATTAATTTCAATGAATTTAAATTCAAATGGCCACACATATCTAATGGCTACCATATTGGACAGTACATCTGTAGGAGCTAGGTCTCCTGACCCCAAGCCAGTACATGTCACTGCCTTTATCATATTCTCCCAGGCAAGAGAGAATTTTAAAAGTAGCTTGAGAAAAAGGCCTTTGGGTACAGAAAGAACTGAAGCTTTCCTGTGAAGTGCACAACAAAGAACCTGGTATAAAAATCTATGGGAAAAGCCTGACTATTCCAGGGAGTCTTCGAGGAAATAACATAAGAGGTCTTCTCTCTTAGAAGAACACATCGGAATATCCACTTTTGCTGGGCTGCCACTACTTCCCTGGAGACTTCTCCCAAGTCTCCATCTTTGGCATTGCCATGACATGGACACCAACAGGACAGGGGAGTTTATGTGGTTGGTCACACTCATTCATTTCCTTTTCTATAATGAGGGTGTAGCATTTATAGGAATCGGCTTTCAGTTGCATCTGAAAACATAGTGGCTTTTTTTTTTTTTTCTTACCTGGTCTGCTATTTCACTATAGAAGTCCTTTACTTGCTCTTCAGTGAGCACTCGCTTAGCCTCTGCTTCTATGACAAATCCTGCATTGATGATCTTCAATTAGAAGGTCAGGTCCAGACGTATTGTGGGATCAAATGTAAAACAAGTCAAGGACATTTGTTTCCTAGGCTTACCAAACCAGCCAGATTTCAATACATTTCATGTAAAGACCTCACCACAATCCACAGGGCACTAGGTTTGAAGAGGCTCAAAAATAGGTAAACAAAGAAGCCTTGTCATGCCTCCTACAATTTACATTTCCATGGCTCAAACTAGAGATCCCACAATAGTTCTATTATTTAAGTGAATTGTCTCAAAATGTAAAAAATCTTTTGAATTCCAAGGAAAGGTATCATAGCTTTCTGAATCACTCGTAAAGACATAAATTTACAAGCACTTCTTAAGCATCTATTTTCAAAATAATTTTAACTTTTTTTTAAGGCTTTACTTTGTTAAGGCTATAACACATAATCTATTATATCTTGCTCTTTTAGCAACAAAAATATCCAAGTTATGGGGAAGGACAGAATTTAAGATTTAGCTGTGCTTTACTTGTCTTGAATAAAATTTAATTTAATAACAAACTCAGTTTGCATGTCACTCAAGTATAATAAAATGTAACAAAGAGAAGTTCTGAGACAAATATCGCAAATGCAATGAGGTACTAAACAATTAAATATAAGTGTAATCCAGCCGGGTCCTGAGCAACACAGTAAATATATTAAACAATACTGATAATTTGAGCTCAATTTGGTTTGGGAGTACCCAGCACCAAGTACCTCTGCTTTTGTTATGAAAGCGAGCCCTGCCCCGGTTCCATATGCTTGATTGATATAGCAGAGCTGTCCCTACATCTCAGTGACCCCTCTCCTGCCTGACATTCCAATTTGAACAATTTGTAAATACTCAGATCATGTCTGTGAAGTTACTTAGTGTCTGACAAAACAAAGTAAAATCCAAGCAACATTTAAACTTGATAACTTGTCCTTTACTATAGTTGAAAAATGCAACGTGTTCATTTTCTTTTTATTCAAAACATTTTTTCAATTTTTTCTGTCCTGTTTGTTATGAAGCTTTTTACTGTAGTCCATAGATGAGAGGTATTGAGGAATAATTCACATTTTTGAAATGTTGTTTAGTATGCCAAAACAAAAAATTTCAGATGAACTAAAATTATATTAATAGTATTGTCTCAACTAAAGAACTATATAATTTTTTAAATCTTCACTATTGTGGCTATTAAAACATACTCAAATAAGGAACAGTAAACAATGTGTATGTTATATTATTTTTGAAAACTTTATGAAGTATAAGCAAAATATGGGGGACTGAGGTACAGTCTGGCGTCCCCTCCCCAAATACACACCAGAATCTGGGGGTGGGAGAGAAGGGGCTATACTTAGAGAGACATTAATTAACTCATAATTGGAAGAGAGAGTATACATATAATGACCCTTGAACCATCTACTCTGTTTAGTTTAATCAATGCTATTGTAGCTAAAGAAAGAACGCATGACAGGGAATTCATCAAGATATATCCAACCCCTCCTGATATAGCTCCCTATGTGATCTCCTCTACTGCAAATGTAGGAACTGCATGAAATATTCTTTCAAATTTCAATATAATTTTATTGTTTCAATGCAAACTCATTGTTCAGGGGTCAGCAAACTATAGCCTGCAGTCAAACTCTGGCCCACCACCTATTTTTGGAAATAAAGTTTATTGGAGCACAGCCATGCCCATTTGTTTACATGTGTCTGCTGCTGCCTTCTCCATATGATAGCAGAGTTAAGCAGTTGTGACAGAGATCAGATGTCCCACAAACCTGAAAATATAAAGGATTACCATCTGGCCCTTTATAGAAAAATGTCTGCTGACTTTTGATTATAAAATTTATTTTGGCTCTAAAGCAAAACAGTAAATGCTTCCCTAAGCTATCATGTATCTGAAAAGGACCACAAATTTGTGACAGTATACAGAAAATAAAGCAAGCTGATGTGAGCTTATAATAAGTTTGCATTGCTAATAACTCAACACGAAGAATGTCTGCTACAATCCAATACGAGAACTATAGCCATTATCAATTACACTGGATGCTGGTTGGGCAAAATTACTTAAATAAATTTGTTTGAGTAGGTCTTAGCCTTTACAAAAATGAAACATTCAAAGCCTTTAGAGGCACCAGAAGTTCATTATGTTCTATTTTACTCTATGATAAGCTTGTCTCCAAATTGACCATTAAGGGGGTTTTATTTTATAATTAATTTAAACTATTATTGCAAAATATTACTTACTTTTTCTTTAATTTCTATATTTTTTCCAGTACGCACAGCCTCGGGCTTGATAATAGCAATACTGTATAGTTGGTCTAGGAAAAAATAAATAGAAGAATTTCATTTTATTGGTACAAAGTCTAGATAAGAAGGATTTGGCAATTAAAACTGTAAACTATTTTACTAACATCCAGTGACTTTTTGTCCATTGACAGCTTTGTTCTTATTATGGTATTTCAACTACCAAAGAGTTTTTACTTAGAACCAAAGTGCAGTTCCTACATTTGCACACAGGAGAAACATTCACAAAAGTTTGTAGTCAATAGCCTCCTCCCCCCCAAAAAATTAATAGATGGGCACTAGCTATTTTAATGTAATTCACATACATTAGAATCACAGCCATGATCTATCCAGCTTAGTATCAATGATAAGTGGAGTTTCAAATGCAATCAAATATTACACACTAATGGATTCCCCATTATGTATTTATCCACATTTATCTATACATTCTTAGGTGTGTTTGCTTCTGCTCCCTCTGGAGGATGAACACACACTCATACAGCCACACAGGCAATCCAGTAAAGGCAGGAAATTATTAACTATAAAGTAAACTGGGAGTATGTGTCACCAAGAAAGAGATTATTTTCATAAGTTTTTGGAAGATGATGAAGGATGAAGTAAGAGGAAGCTGCTGTCCAGATTAGTTACCCCTGATCCTGCTGGGTAACCTCTGAAATGCTCCAGGCACAGAAATAAAAATGGAAAGAAAGAGAAGCCAAAGAGGCTGCTTTTTAATAGCTGACTCTAATATTGCACAAGCCATCATTTATCCTATCAGTTAACATTGATGTCATTACCAGCTCTTTGCTGCTTCAAGTGATGCTGTAACAAACATCTATGAGCACAAATCCCTCGCCATTACTTTAAATCTACTTACCATTATTTTCGTGAGATGCTTCCCCAACATTTTCTGTATCTGAGTCTACAAATGCAATTTCATGATACTATGGAAGTGAAATGCAAATAAAACTTATATTTTAATACAATAGTGAGTTTTTAGAAAGTTCGTTTCTAATAAATATTTATAATCCAAAGGACAGAAGATAAAGTGGATATGTGCCTACATTTATTTAGCACTACTTTCCCCAAGCTTTCCAGTAAAATAAAATAAGGAATATTTAAAACAGTTGGGGTAGGGGAACTATTAGAAATAATGGATATATGCTCTATGGAAATGGTTTAAAGAAAAAAAAACCTTAAAACTTAAGAAGGGCACAAGTAATAAAATAAGAAGCAGAGATTAACAAGTAAGAAAACAATACATAATTATCATGTTAAAGATCAAAAGTGCATTTGATAACTTTCAAGATCCATTCCTGACTATTACTATTTGTAAATTACAAACAGAAAGATACCACCATAACATATATATATATGTATACACACATATATATACACATACATATATACATATGTATATGTATATATTTCTTGCTGAAAACAATAGCCAGTTTCTTACTACAGAGTAAAACCCTAGGAAGTATGGGGAGGTGGGGGCCTTAATTACCTGAGAAATTCTGAAAGTGCTTCTGGAACTACCAGCAAGGTTTATATATTTACAAATTTTTTGGCAAGAAAATGCAGAACTTATGATTCTCAATGGAATAAAGACTCAGAAGTATTTGGAAATAACTATACTGGAAGTATTCACTCTTATTATAATCAGGAATAAGACAATTATGCCAGCTATAACTTCAAACTGATCTAGCTTTGTTGTGCTGGACCTGAGTTGGCAAATAGGGCCTCCACTAAGCACATAAATGTATTTGAGCACTTGAAATGAGGTTAGTCTAAATTAAGACGTGTTGTAAGTGAAAAACACACATATTCCAATGATTTTATATGAAAAAAAGAGAGCCACAGAAATCAGAGAAGTAAAAGAAATAAAAGGTATCCAAATGCAAAAGGAAGAAGTAAAATTGTCATTATTTGCAGATGACATGATGCTATATAGAGAGAATCCCAAAGATCCCATCAAAAGCTACTAGAACTGATAAATGAATTTAGTAAAATAATATTTAGAAATCGGTTGCATTTTTATACACCAATAACAAACTATTAGAAAGAGAAATTAAAAAACAATCCCATTTACAATAGCATCAAAAACCAAAATACTCAGGGATAAATTTAACCAGGGAAGTAAAAGACCTGCACTCAGAAAATTGTAACACATTGAGGAGACAATTTAAAGAAGATACAAATAAATGGAAACACATACCATGCTTGTGGATAGGAAAAATTAATATAGTTAAAATGTCCATACTACTCAAAGCAATCTATAGAGTAACACAATACCTATCAAAATAACAATGGCATTTTTCACAGGACTAGAACACAAATAATCCTAATATTTATATGAAGCCATAAAAGACCCCCAATAGCCATGGCAATCCTTAGAAATAAAAACAAAGCTGGAAGTATCACGCTATCTGATATCAAACTATATTACAAAGCTATAGTAATCAAAACAGCATGGTATTGGCATTAAAAACAGACACATAGATTAATGGATCAGAATAGAGAACCCAGAAATAAATCCATGCCTATATGGTCCATTAATCTATGACAAAGGAAGCAAGAGTTTATATTGGGGTAAAGATAGTGTATTTAATAAATGGTGCTGGGAAAACTGGACAGATACATGCAAAAAGGTGAAACTGGATCACCTTCTTATGAATACACAAGAGAAAACTCAAAATTAATTAAAGACTTAAATGTAAGATTCGAAACCATAAAACTCCTAGAAGAAAATACAGGAAGTAAACTCTCACACATTACTCTTAGTAATATTTTTACTGATATATTTCCTTGGGCAAAGGAAACAAACAAACAAAAATAAACAAATGGGACTATGTCAAACCAAAAAGTTTTTCACAGCAAAGGAAACCATCAACAAAACAAAAAGACATCCTACTGAATGGGAGAAGATATTCACCAATGATACATCTGATAAGGGGTTAATATCCAAAATTTATTTTAAAACAACAACAAAAACAAAAACATACAACCCAACACCAGAAAAACAAGCAATCCAATTTAAAAAATGGGCAGATGCAAATAAAACCCACAATGAGATACCAACCTCACTCCTGTCAGAACGGCTATCATCAATAAATCAATAAACAAGTGCTGGTGAGGATGTGGAGAAAGGGAACCCTTGTGCACTGTTGGTGGGATTGCAAATTGGTGCAGCCACTATGGAAAACAGTATGGTGTTTCCTCAAAAAATTAAAAATAGAACTACCATATGACCCAGCAATTCTACTCATGGGTATTTATTCAAAAAAATCCAAAACACTTATTCAAAAAATATATAGGCACCCCTATGTTTACTGCAGCACCATTCACAATAGCCAAGATATGGAAACAACCAAAGTGCCCATCAATAGACCATTGGATAAATAAATTGTGGTACCCTTATACAATGTAGTATTACTCTGCCATAAAAAAAGAATGAAATCTTACCATTTGTCACAACATGGATGGACCTAGAGGATATTTTGTTAAGTGAAATAAGTCAGACTGAGAAAGACAAATACCATATGATCTCATCTATATGTGGAATCTAAAAAACAGAATAAACAAGCAAACAAAACAGAAATAGACTCATAGATACAGAGAAAAAACTGATGGTTCCTGGATGGGAGGAGGTTGGGGGATGGGTGAGAAGGTGAAGGAATTAGAAAGTACAACTTGGTAGTCACAAAATTGTCACATGAATGTAGAATATAGTCAATGTTGTAAAGACTGTGTGGGGTACAAGCTGGGTACTGAACTTATTGGAGGGATCACTTCATAGATAATACAAATGCCTAACCACTGCACTGTACATCTGCAACTAATATAAAATCATGTTGAATGTCAACACACACACACGCATCAGAGGTCCCAAAAAATGTTGACACTTTGGTCAACATTGCTCAAGCAGTAGTTTGCCATAATCAGAAGTGTCTGGACACTGATGGTAACCACTTTGAGCACCTCTTGTAATTGCAGAAGTCAAACGTGACTTGTACTCATCTTTTGTTATCAGTATATATTGAGTATTACAATTTTAATAAATTGTGCATACATTTATTGTGGCACTCTCTGCATATGTAGTCACAGGATGTAAAGTACCGGCATAGGGAGTATAGTCAATGGTATTGAAATAGCTATCTACGATGTCAGAGGGGTATTAGACTTGGTGGGGTTACCACTTTGTGAGGGATGTAAATATCTAATCATTATTTGTTCTGTACACCTGAAACTAATAAAAAAATTTAATTTAATTTAATTTAATTTAAAAATAATATGAAAAATACGAATGTAGAATACCTTTTATATTGAGTATATCATTAAATAGGAATCTTTTAACATACTGGGTTAAATAAAAGATGCTTTTAAAATTAATTTCATGTGTTTCTTTTTTCTTGTTTACTAATGTGACTAGTAAAATATTTTAAGTTATGTATGTAGCTCACATCGAGGCTTATATTTTACTACTATCAGACAGGGCTATGCTAGATAAGGCAATTAGATAAGAAAGCTAAATACAGATGCATCCAACAAAATGGAATAATGTAAAATAAACATGATGTTAATAAATTTCTTGTATTCCCACTGTTATTAATTAAAACCAGATGTCCTTCTGTAAGAACAGCAAAAACAATGAGAACAATATAATCATAAACAGTATACATAGAGAAAGTAGATAGAATATATCATTAGGAGAATATGTTTAGGGGTCATTCTGTCTGACTTCAAGTTCTGGTTTCCCCACTTACTAATTGCCTGTTTCTGGGGAAATGACTTAATGTTTTTAAGCACTGTCTTATCATTTGTAAATATAAGATTTCTTGAGGTTTCAGTTCATGATGTCACATAGGAGATTCCTGAACTCACTTCCTCCCAAAGGCACACCTAATCTTTAGCTACATATTGTGCAATTCCCTCTGAAAGAAATCGAGAAACTAGCTAAGTGACTCCTACACATCAGGCAAATATGGGGGGGGGGGGGGGGGAAGAACCCAGCATATTGAAAAGGGTGGGAGAGGTTAAGAAACTTTCAGTCTCACCATAAATAAACGCCACCCCTGGCACAAAAACACATAATCAGGAAGGGAACTCACAACTCCCAGCATTTTCCTGAGTTAAGGGTTTAGACTCAACATCTAGTGCCCCAAATCTTAAGACTTCCAACTGAGAGAGGAGCCCTCAAAAAGCCTAGCTCTGAAAACCACTGGGGCTTGCATCCACAAGATCCACAAGACTGTAGTAAACAGTTCTAACAGGCTCCTGAGGACCAACTGAGACTCTCCTCCCAGGGCTCAGTGCAGAGGTGCAGACTGAAACACCCAGTTTATCCCTGACAGAGGCTTATTTGGAAATCTTAAAATCTGTAGCCTGAGGCTCAGTCTCTTAATTTCACAAGGCTTAGGGGCTGACTGCAATCCTCTCCAGACCCCTGGGAGGCCAGCAGAACCCATCTTATGCTCTCCCTCTGCCCTACTCCAGGTTGCTGGTGTCTTTCTGGAGATAGTTGGTTGCGTACATGTCTGGTGCCCTGGCTTTTGCAGCTGTTACCCAGGGAACAAACCCCTTGTTTACTTGGTTCTGGTGGCCAACAGAGCTTGCATTTGCAGGTCCCACAGGACTGCAGTAAACAATAAAATAGTTCTTGACCAGCTATCACCTAGGGCACATAAAAAAGGCAGCTATCAGAGGGATCCAACTCCCAATATTTCCCTGAGGGGTCCTATTCACATGTCTTGGGGGCTGCAACCTGAGGGTTAGGCTTTTAGTATGACACACATCTAGGAGCTAACTGAAATCTTCTCCAGAAACCAGGGAGGCTGGCAGGTCCCATCTTTGCTTTCTCCCTCTGCCCTGTTCTAGGTCACTGGTATTTACATGAAGATAGCTTGAGTGCACATCTGGTACCTAGGCTTTTGTGTCTGCTCCCCAAGGGCACATCCTTTGATAGCCTGGTTCTGGCAGCTAGCAGGGCTGGTGTTTGTTGGTTCAGTAGAACCAGCAATGGATAAACTGTCCAGACAGAAAAATCAATATGAAACATTGGACTTAAACTTTAAACTGCACATTAGACCAGATAGACTTAACAGACATTTATAGAACATCGCATCCAAAAGCAGCAGAATACACATTCTTGTCAAGTATGCATGCAACATTCTCTAGGATAGATCATATGTTAGGCCACAAAACAAACCTCAATAAATGTAAGTGCATTGAAATTATATCAAGCATTTTTTCTGGTATGAAACCAGAAATCCACTACAAGAAGAAACTGGAAAGTTCACAAATATGTGATTAAACAACATGCTACTGAACAACCAATGGGTCAAAGAATAAATTAAAACAAAGGACAAATAAAAAAAACACCTTGAGACAAATAAAAATGAGAATACAACATACCAAAAATTAAAGGATGCTATGAGAGTTCTAGGAAGGAAGTTCATAGCAATAACTGCCTATATTAAGAAAAAAGAAAGGTCTCAAATAAATAACCAAACTTTACACTTCAAGAAATGAATAGAAACAGAAGAATAAATGAAGCCAAAGTTAGTAGATGAAGAAAATAACAAACATCAGAGCAGAAATAAATAAAATGGAAACTAAAAGGACAATAGAAAAAAATCAATGAAACTAAGAGCTGGCTTTTGATCCACTGTTGGGAATCCACTGATGCAAAGGGCTGACTGTATACATTGTTCTACGGCATTTTATATAAGAAACTTGAGCATCGGTGGATTTTGGTATCTGCAGGGAGCCCTAGAACAAATCACCGGCAGATACTCAGTGATGACTGAATTTGGGGGGCACCAAAAATTATACAGGGATTTTTCAACTGCATGGGGGTCAGTGCCCCTAACCTTCATGTTGTTCAAGGGTCCACTGCATTTACAATAGCCGAGGTATGGAAACAAGCTAAGTGTCCATTAAAGGATGAATGGATAAAGAAAAGATGGAATATACATTAAATGAAATATTATTCATCCATAAAAAAGGAGGAAATCTTGCCATTTGTGACAACATGGATAGACCTTGAGGGCATTATGCTAAGTGAAATAAGGCAGACAGAGAAAGACAAATACTGTATGATCTCACTTATATGTAGAAGCTTAAAAAAAACTCAAGTCATAGATACAGAGAACAGAATGTGGCTGCCAGAGGCAGGGGTTGGGGATGGGGGAATTGGGTGAAGATGGTCAAAGGTACAAACTTTCAGTTATAAGATAAATAAGTTCTGGGTATAATATACAGCATGGTGACTATAGATAATAATGCTACATTGTATATTTGAAAGTTGCTAAGAGAGTAGATCTTAAAAGTTCTCACCATAAGAAAAAAGTTGTAATTATGTGAGGTGACAGATGTTAACTAAACTTAGTGAAATAATGATTTTGCAATATACATACATATCAAAACATTATGTTGTACATCTTAAACTAATACAGTGTTATCTGTCAATTATACTTCAACAAAAGTGGGGGTGACAAGATTTATGTAAGGATTAAATGAGATCTATTTGCAAATCTTAGCAAACAATAAGTCCTCAATAATTCTTAGTTATTAAATATTTAAAAAGAAGTGTGGGGGGTAGTGTTAAGAGAGAGACAAAGGGAAAAGATTCCTGAAAAACAAGAAAATGTGAAAAAGTAAAGAAAATGTCCTTGCATCGCTATTATAAATAATAGTGATATTTTTTTATAATTTATCACTATAAATTTATATCACAATATAAATTTCCTACATTTGTCAGTTTTCTATCAAAACGTTCATTTTTTTCCTTAGTGTTCATAAAGTACTTTGTATACACTATGAATATTAGCACAGTGACACATAGTGCAAGCATTTTTACTGGTTTACTGCCTTCCTTTTACATTTTAGGATAAGCATCAAAGTTTTAAATAACCAAATCTATCAAATTTTCCTTTTTTGATATCTCTGTTTTGTGTTATGTTTACAAAGCCTCCCTCAACCTATGGTAATAAAAATGTTTGCCAATATTTTCTTCTAATACTTTTACACTTCATTTCTTCATATTCATCTCTTTAATTCATCTGTGTAAAATATGAGGAAATGATACAAGTTTCTCATACAAATAGTTAACCCAATATTCCTAAGCCTCTTTATTGAAGTGTTAATTCTTTCCTGAGTTAAAGTGACACTTTTTACAGCAAATACTTGTCAAGTTTGGACCTACACCAGCTCATTATTTCTATTTTTCAATATTTCCTGGCTAATCTCTATTTCCTGTTTCTTAGATTCATACTTTCCCTTGTTTGTTGTTTGTTGTGTGTGTGCGTGTGTGTGTGTGTGTGTGTGTATTTCAGTCACTCCTATTTATCTGCCTATATTTCTGATCACTTTGTTATGTGGCTTACTTTCTTATGTTATTATGTTCATACCTCTACATCCTTTATGATTTATTTCTTGATTTTTAAGTATTTTATTTCTTATTATACAGGTAATACATTTCACATACACAGGATCTTATTCTCAATATCTAGCCTATTAAAGTGTACTTTTCCTTTCATTCATCAATCTATCTTGGCCCTCTTTCCATATCTGTAATACAGAGCTAGAACACACTAAATAATATTCTACTCTGGATTTGTATAATTTATGACATACATCTTACATACATATTATAGACATCTTATGTAATATATTCACTGTTGCTAGCATTTGGGTTGATTCCAAATGTATCCAAAAGGATACATATGTTTGTTAAGGCCTTGATTAATATCGACAAAATACTTCCCAGAATCTTTGCACCATTTAGACAGCTAGATAGTTATTAAATTAGAAAAACTGTTTTAGGAAAACAACAAAAAAAGATGCAATGCATTTAAAAAAAAATAAAACAGTAATCCAAAGTGTTACCTGAGGGCGAACCATTTCACCTGCTGCAATTTTCCTCTCCTCATTGATCAAGTTAATAATTTTCTTATTAACAAGTGGTGCATTTGCACCATTAATCTTTGCAATAATTTTGCCATTCTATAAAAGAAAATAAAGCATAATGGAGACTTTTATTTTTAGGATAAGTCAATAGCTAACACTTCAAATGGACTAAGTCACCCACCCACACCCATACCCTCACCCATCCTTTTTTAGCAATTATAATTAGCCATTTTAAATAAGCCCATGATGTGAAAGTATGTCTTGATTTGGTAAACCTAGCTCTTCGAGTCTGGCTTCCAATCTGTCTATCCTCCTACAACTAGGGTCATCCCTGCGTTACATTCTGATGTTTTTGTTGAGGCCTCCCAACATTACCCACCTAATTGTTTTTGACCTTATGTCCCTTTTGACTGTATTTCAAAACATATTTACTAAACATCTGTTTACTAGCACTGCACAGGCATGATGGTATGGAATATTTGTTAATACCTGACTTAATTAAATTACAAAGAAAAAATAAAAAACTGTGAAATAACAGCCATGACAGATGCCATCAAGAGAGAAATAAAGAACTGGGAGAATTCTGTAAGAATTTGTCCTGATCAAGGAGATTGGTGAAGGTACTTATCAATATCGGGAAGTGATTCTTGGTTTAAAATATGCAGGATGGGTAAGAGATAACTGGCAAAAAAGGGAAGAAACAGCATTCTAGCTAGGCAAAAGAAATAGAGATGCAAGGACCCTATAACAGATGGGAATATGGCAAATGAGAAAGCCAGTCAAGAAAGTGAGGGGTGGATGCTTGGTCTGAGACGAAGCCCACAGCCGGGGGGGAACCAGGCCATGCAGACCTCAGTGGTCACGGAAGGTTGCCTTTATCCTGAGTGCAGTGGGACGCCTTTGGATTGTTAAAACAGAGGCAGTCACTATGATTAGAACCGCTGGTTGTAATGATCATTTCACCTACCACGTGGAAAAAGGGTTAGTGGGGGAGCAGGAAATGATGCCTGTATACAAATTCTAGAGGTAAAGATGAGAGAGATGGTTGTTCCGTCTATGGCAGTGGTGATGTAGTTGGAAAAAAATGTAAAGAAGCGGATGAGTGTGAGAAAGACTTAGGTGGTAAAATTGACAGACTCAAGGTCTGCTGTGGAATAGGTATGATGTAAACAGAAGTTGCTAAGATGACTTGTCGGTTCTGGCTTGAGAAACTGGATAATTAAGATGTTATTCACCAATGAGGCAACACTAAAAAACCACTTTCCTGGGTTGGGGGGTGGAGGTCTGCTGTTGGACCAGTTCATTGTGAAACACCCTTGAGAAAACCAAGGGAAATGTCAAGACACCAGCCGGATATACAAGTCTGGAGCTCAAAGTGTAGGATTTAGCTGAGGATATAAACTTGAGTTATTGATATATAAAAGGTGACGACTGAAACTGTGTGGAAGAAATTTTCTAAGGAAAGTATATGGCATGATAAAGTCAGTATTTAGTGGCTGCATAAAGAAAGATGAACCCGGGAATAGACAGACGCTGTTCCAACTGCCTCCCAGGATCACACCAAAATTACAAATAATTTATAAAATATTCAACCTCGAAGTCCCCTGGACACTAGATGAGCAGAACCTCTAAACGAAGGACTTAAAGAGGAGGCCACGTCAAGTCCAGTAGGAAGGGCCGAGATGAGAGAGGGGGAATCCCGTGAGGGACACCTCAGCGGTGGACAGGCTTCTCCGGTTGGGGGAGAGACCCTCCACCCCACACCGCGCTCACCAGCACAGAGTTACTTTGCCAGGAAGAGGAGTTCCACGATAGCTGGCAGTAGAAATTAGTGAGGACTTTCTTTGCTCAACTTGGTGAGACTAAGGGTGGCTGGAGAACCAGTGGAGCCGGCACACGGACTCGCTCTCTGATGAGCACTCACCTGTTCCCGGTGGAGGGAGTGGCTGTGTAAGCGGGGCCCAGGAACCTGCGGGAAGGACTGAACTGAGTGTTTTTGGCGTGGGAGCTGGAGGTTTTGGGACCCTTGTTCCCATGGTGTGGAGCTTGCACATGAGTAGTGCACAGGAGGACACCATTTTTTCAGGGTTGGGCCCTCCCACAGAGGGTCAGGTCCAGGACCACATTGGTCCCATAGAATTGGCGCAGGAGTACGTGTGTGTGCGCGTTCGCATGTGGCCTTGGATCCCCACCCTCCGCACTGCTTGTGCTGCATAGCCAGGGAAATACCTGGCAGGCGCACTCAGGCTCCAATAGGCTATTCATTGAGATGCAGGAGTGTGTAAGCCGCCTTGGGTCCCCGCTCTCCACACTGTGCTGCAGGGTTGCCAGGGTGGCGACTGGCTGTCAGGCTGCTTGGCCTGATCTACAAGCAGCTGATTGGGACAGGCTGAGACTGGGAGTTTTCCTGGGAATGTTGGGTCGTGAGCTGTGCACCTATGTGATCCGGTCGGGGCTTTCCTGGTGAAGTTTGTGTGGGCTGGTTGCCGATGCAGGAGTGCATGCTGCTCTGACTTGGTGGGGGCCACTGACCACATACTGTGGTGCCTTGGGAGCCTGCCCCGCCCACCTAGAGCTGTGTTGCCAGGGGCACCCTGAGCCCCTGGTTCCTGGCCCCAACCTCCGCAGGCCACAGAGAGTTTTTTGTAGCAGCAGACAGCCTACAACAACCTGTGAGGATTTTGGGGGTGGTGAGCACGGTTCCAGAGCATACAGCAGCTACTTGCAGGAGGCTCACTGCAAGCCTGAGATGGAGGCCGGTGCATGCCGCACTGAGCCCTTCCCCCCAACAGCTGGTGCTGAGTCGCCCAAAGTCTATTGCTGAGCAAGTGGTCTGAAGATTAACACAGGCAAAGAGCCCCTGCGCCCCCCTTTTTTTTCTTATTTTTCTTCTTTTTTTTCTAGGTGATCTAATACATCGAAGAAATCACAGAGTGACAGCCAGAATAAAGAAACTAAGAAACATGTCCCATGTAAAAGATCAGAAAAAAACCTCTAGAAATGGAACTAAATGAAACAGGTATCCAACCTTTCAGAGACAGAGTTTAGAACACTGATGATAAGAACGTTTAAGGAACTTAGTGAGGACATAAATAAGGATACAGAAATCATAAAAAACAACTAGGTAGAACTAAAGAATACAATAACTGAAATGAAGAACACACTCGAAGGAATCACCAGTAGATTAGATGAAGCAAAGGATCGCATCAGTGATTTAGAAGACAAAATAGCAGAAATCATCCAGTTGAAACAACAAAAAGAAAAGGATTAAAAAACAATGAAAATAGCTTATGAGACCTGTGGGACAACATCAAGCGCACCAACATTCACATCATAGGAATACCAGAAGGAGAAGAGAAGAAGCAAAGAATTATTTGAAGAAATAATGACTGAAAACTTCCCTACCCTGGTGAAGGAACTCTAGTTAAAAGCCCAGGAAATGCAGAGTTCCAAATAAGCTGAACCCAAACAGGTCCACACCAAGACATATCATAATTAAAATGGCAAAGGTTATAGACAAAGACAGGATCCTAAAAGCAACAAGAGAAAGACAGCAGGTTACATACAAAGGAACTCCTATAAGACTAATAGCTGAATAATACTCCATTGTGTAAATGTACCAAAGTTTCTTAATCCAGTCATCTACCGATGGGCATTTTGGTTGTTTCCAAGTCTTAGCTAT